TTAACGAAAGTCAGAGGAAAATATTTATATTCTAAAAGGATCATTTCGCGATTTTGTACCCGCTATTCCTCTCAAGATAAATATTAACCCTTTGCTGATAACGTTGGGGTCGGATCCGATCCTAAACACACGTTGCTGGATATATTCCGCAACTTCACGTTGTCAGAAGAGGGTTAAAAAGAGCAACATATTCTTGCCCGAGTCGAAATTTTGATGCTACTTTGACGCTCTTAAGAATAGTTTGTGCCTACTTAGACGATTTATAGCTTAGGTAAAACCTACTTTGACGATATTGATACTCATTAACTTCTCTTTTAAATCTTTAACTCTACCTTGTCAAAATTTTGACAAGTACTTAATAATTATTTTTATTTGCTGATTATGAATATGAAGTTAAATATGTAACATTATTTATATAAATAATAAAATGTTTAAACAAAACATGTAAAATTTGAAAAAAAAAATTATACAAATAATTTTTCGGTTTGGCCGAGATTCGAGCCATTTTTGACTAATTTAACACAAATTTGAAATATCTTGGTTAGAATTTCGGCTAAAGAAATTTAGAATGGTTCATGTCTCAGCTATGCCGATTTTGTTAAAATTATTTAACCATATTTTGTATTCAATTTTATTTTGACACTCTTAAAAATAGTTTAAACCTATTTAGATAATCTACAACCTAGGAGAAACCTATTCTGACAATATTGACATTCATTTCCGAGTTGAAATTTTGACCCTATATTGAACCTTGAATTCTACACCACAGTAGGAGTTAAGATAGCAAAGTAGGTTCAATTCTAATGATATAATAGGTTTCACCTAGGTTGTAGATTATATAAGTAGGCTCAAACTATTTTTAAGAGCATCAAAGTAGCGTTTTGATAAAAAAAGGAAGTTAATGAATATCAATATTATCAAAGTAGATTTCACCTAGGCTATAAATCGTCTAAGTAAGCGCAAACTATCCTTAAAAGCGTCAAAGTAGTATCAAAATTCGGGTTATACATTTTAGAGCAGCATTTTATCTTTCAAGATCTCTCTCGCGTTTCACGCGCGATGTATCGGGGGTCATGTTCCACGTAAGAGCGGATAATTAAGCACCGATGTATCCACCACCGCACGTATCCACGATGGCGTGCGTATCCGAAACTCGCGGACAACTTGTACGCCGCCGTCGTCGCTACTCTCTTCTTAATCCGCGCGATACCGTATACGGCAACTATAAATAAGATAACTTGCGAAACAAGAGCCTTGTACGGACGAAAAACATTCCGAAATCGGGTGAAAGCGCCTCGGTCAAGCGAGCCGCCGCCGCCACCGCCGCCACTCTACGGTGTTATTTTCCCTACGCGGATTTCTTCACCTGAGCCTGCGTGTGCGGTTTGACGGCACAAGCCGCGTGCATTATAATTTCACAAACGAGCGAGTCCACGCGTGCGTTTACAGAAAGCGAATCCGCGCTAATTACAATGCGCCACGGATCGATCGACTGCAAAGTAGCAGGAAGACGTGTGTTAACGGAAAATAAACTCGCTCGCATTCGTCGCGCGGCTTCTTATTTTTCAGCGCGACGAAGGAGTCGAGTAATTTTACTTCTTATCTTTTTTCTCTTATTTTGTCCTTTTCTAGTGTCTCGCCGTTTTGCTTGACGCGACCGTTCGCGATCGCGAGATTTTGCGGAATCGAGAGCGAAAGTTTTACTCTGTTCGGTGAAACTCCTTTCTTCCTCTGCGAAAACGGCGTCTCGATCTTGCGAACCGCCGACGCGACTCCAAGACGCGTACTCGCGCCTCGTTTTGCCTTCTGTTCCTTCAGATAAGATAAACGACGACAGATAAACACACACTCGCGCATACTATGTACAGCGCTAATTATTATACCAAGCGACAAACGCCATTGCAAATTATCATTCATTTCCCGTCAGTCGTTTTCGGCATCAACCGTGTTTTTTATTTTGACAAAAATGTAGTGACAGTACGATATTCATATAAAGTTATCAATAACGCTACAGTAAGATGCTGATTACAAAAGTTAAAAAAATTTTACTATACTTACTATTTCAATACTATTTCAAATTTTCTCTTTCTGTACTAATTTACATCACATCTTTGGTATAGTCTAGCTTTAAAAAAAACATTGTGAAAAAAATATAATTTTAACATAATTTAATTTTAATTTTAAAAAATATAATTTTAACATAATTTAATTTTTATTACAATATTTCCTCCGTGTGTTAAATGGGAACAGGTATTTTTTGTTCTATTTTCTTGAGGCGCGACGGCAAACAACTTCCTCCCGTGTAATCGAACTTCAAGAGAACGATCGACCATTATATTTTTGTTATCTTCATTATAAGGCCGCTTTATGGATCCGGCGGCACCATTTTGTCCCCGGCGATCGTTTTCCGACGTCATCCGCTTTCGAAAGGGTCGTTGGAGAGCGGATTACTCACGCCCATTGCCTCCTCAGCTTCCTAACCGCATCGCATGATTTTGCAAGGACGGAAGTCCTGTGGGAGAATCGTTTGTGGCTGGCGGCGATTACGAAATTCGCGGAGGAGCGCTGTTAACGAGCGCGTTTCGAAACCGCGGCTTCGCCGAATTCAAAGATTTTGCGCAACACGTCATATCCGCGTCCTGTCGAACGCAGAATCTTACCATCGCTCTTACGCGAAAGGATCATTTGAATATCTCGTATTTCTAAGGCTGTTGAGTTTCTGTACGTTTCTCTCTCTCTCTTTCTAACTTATATATGATTTTTTGCTACAAAATAATATAAACTAACAAGGGAGCATCGCGAATTCTTTGATTTTGATATACTTTTATGAGTATATAGAGTAAATCAATACATTTATAACGGTATATTCTATTTGTGCTTTATCGCTATTTAAAGGTATGATTTACACTCAAAGTAAAAAAGACGATTCCACTTTTTCGTATATTACTCTTAAATTAAAAGAGACAGAAAAAAATGTTTCAAATACAAGTTTAATGGTAAGTTAAATGTTGTAAATATATTGACATAATAAAAAATACCTTTTTTTACTGTAAAAAAATTTTTTTAGAGGTATTTTTTTATTTATGCTTATGTCAATTTACAGCACTTAACTTACCATTAAACTTTTATTTGAAAAAATTTTTTTCTATCTCCTTTAATTTAAGAGTAACGAAAAAGTGGAATCGTCCTTTTTACTTTGAAAGTGTAAATCATACCTTTAAATAGCGATAAAGTACAAATAGAATATATTCATGTTCATATTATTTATATATTGATTTACTCTACACGGAAAAAAAAAAGAAGTAAAAGAACTTTTACTATGAAAGCAAGAAAATTTGCTCCTGCAGTTAATATTTTTAGTTGTCTATGTATTAGCAAATCTTTTTTTTCCATGTATATATTTAAAACAAAAGTGTATCAAAATCAAAGAGTTCGAGTTCGCGATGTTTCCTTGTAAGTAACTGTAATATATTCTTACACTACTGTTTGAAGTGATTATTTTCTTTAATTAATAACTCAAAGTTTCACGTGGTTTTTCGCAAAATGATAGAGGAATATTTGTTCATTTTGATCTGATCTATTTGACGCGATATACTTTTCGATAATTATATCCGCGTTCTCAGGGAATTGCCCTAGAATGATAAATAAACTCTTAATCGATCTCTCTCTTTCTCCCTCGCTATTGCGACTCTCGTTTGAAACGTCCTTTAGAGCGGTTCGATGAGAAAGATCGAAGGAAGGACGAAGATTGCGCACGACCGCTAGATTATAGCGGACGTATTTGGTCGACGCCGGCTGCACCGTGTAACGCGAATGCCACGAACTGTATTTATTAAAGGCGAATCGTGTGTGCGTTAACGCTCGGCAAGGCCGAGGGAAAGAGAGAAAAGAGAGCCGTTTCGAGATCTATACTAAACGTCGCTCGGCCTCCTCCGCGTCCTTGGCCGGGGGAGAGAGAGAGAGAGGAGAAGACGGCAGAGAAAGAGAGGATTATAATAATTGCGCTTTTATCTCATTTTGACGCCCGCGGGATCTTATCGCGAAGGATAGAAGAAGGAACGCTCGTATTATTTTATCCTTATCGAGCGACATGTCAGATCGCGCTACATTGACGCGTGATAAATTCTTGAGGAAAAAAGACAAACTCGTCAATAGTTATTTGTAAGGTGCTCTATACGAGGTCATCGGCGACTAATAATAGAACGAGAGTCATGCCGGCAGTATTCTTTCTCCACTGGTGAGACGGAAAAGTTCCATGATTTCGCTCGACATTCACTCGGCTCATTCAGTTTTATTTAAATGCCTGCCTTTAAAAAAGAATACGAGATACTAGCTTACATTAGAAGATCAGTGGATAGATACTCAACTCTCTAGTATTAATTTGCTGTGAAGAATATGAGTCTTTAATATAGGTGCGATTTTACTCACACATAAATTTTCAAGTATTTCTTTCCAGTGTATTTTTATATCGATGATTGAATCACTCATTTTGATCCGTTTCGGCTCGATCCCACGTCGATCTCTCGTGCCGAACGCACCGTTTGGCATATCATCATGAATCTCAGCTCGTGAATCTCATCACGCTTCGCGAATAATCTGGTCAGACGTTCCTCTCGAGGCGCGTCGATAAACGGCGACGGGCGAAAACGTCTAGCCGCAACAATTACGAGCAACGTGCTCGAGATTGATTTCCTACGACTAAGCTAAGCTTCTCCACGTGTCTGATCACGTCTTCATTCTCGTCCTCGTCGTCGTGGTGTTTTCACTCGTTAGTAGAGCACGAAGGTTATAATTAATGTCGACGATCAAACTGAAGAGTCGGCTCGTTAAGATCGGCGATTCACGTTCGTGAATTCGATCAACGTGCGCATTACGGTATCGCGATTGACATTCGACATCTCGATTGCGCAGCTGCGCGCTGCTTTTTTGCGAGTCCCGAGTTACCTAGAGGCCGACGAATCTCGACGAGGAATGTCAATGATAATGTTTCCTTGTTACAGATATGGCACAAGCAGTGTTTCAAGTGTCAGGGTTGCGGAATGACCCTGAACATGCGGACGTACAAGGGTTTCAACAAACAGCCGTACTGTGAGGCGTAAGTAAAACACAATAAACCTTCCGATCTCTCTCTCACGTGGTCGTGTACTCCCTCCTCTCTCTCTCTCTCTCTCTCTCTCTCTCTCTCTCTCTCTCTCTCTCTCTCTCTCT